TTTATTAATACGGAGGAGATGGATTGTTTAAGTTTAGACTTTGGAGTTAGAGATATTAATATTTGTTTACTTGTATTTGAATATTAGCCTAGGTTGGTTTGGGAAGTCCGGGGGGTGGGGGGATGGGTTATAACATTGTGTAATATCTGTGATGTATTTCTTTTTTTTTTATGATAAAAACAATAAAATTTTATATTGATAAAAGAAGCAACCTATAACAGTGATGGCGAATCTTTTAGAGACCGAATGCCCAAACCGCAACCCAAAACCCACTTATTGATCGCAAAGTACCAGGGCCACATCAGCATCGTGGTGCCCTTGGGGAGGGGGGCAGGGAAGTGCGCATGCCTGAAGATGGCGCACGTCGGTGAATAGCTCCGAAAATGCGGAGCCCGAAAATGGCTAGAGGGTGGGCTCGGAAGCCCCCTGGAGGTCCGGAGACCCGTCCCCCATGTGGATTCCTCCCCCGGTAAGGCCCCTGGACTGGATACGGGACGCGTGGGGACGCGGGGACGCGGGGACGTGGTGCCGACCTGGTAGCCGCTTTTTCGGCCTTTTTCGGCCTTTTCGGCTTTCCCGGCCTTCCGTCCTCGGCGGCCCCGCTGGAGGTGCGCGGGCGGCTTTTTCAGCGACCCCCAGGACAGACCGCTCGGCCCAGGGCAGACCGCTCGGCCCAGGGCAGACCGCTCGGCCCAGACCACTCGGCCGCAGAGACATTTGTGGTGGATGCGGCGGCCTGGGCAGCCCGGATGGCCTCTTCTGGGCGGCCGTTTTGGCCGTGGAGATATCTTCGGCGGCCTCTCTCAGCCCCTCCCGGACTCGGAGACTCCCCTGGCAACCTCGGGGGCCTCCTTGACGATCTTTGGTGGTCCGCGTGGACTTGGTGGCCTCCTCGGTGGCTGCGGCGGCCAGGCCAAGAACTCTGTGGGCGGCTTCGATGGCCCCTCCAGACGGCCCCTTCAACGACGGTTTTCGGCCTTCCCGGCGGCCTAGGGCCTTTGGAGGGCTTTTTCAGCAGCCTTCCCGGCGGCCTGGGGCCTTCAGAGGGCTTTTCCAGCAGCCTCGACGGCCCCTCCAATGATGGCAGCTCTGGTGCAAACCCATCTCCAGTGATGGCAGCCCTGGCGGTTGCGATGGCCGGGCGGCCTGTTTGGTGGCCTATCCGAGGCCTGTCTCTTGTCTCCGTTTGGCCCTGTTTTGACCTGAGGGGATTAAACAACATCCTCCCCTCTGCGCCACGG